AGACAGCCCAGTCAGTACGGAGTACAGTGCAAGAGATCCTACATGCATCTCAATCTCACAGCCCAGGCCAGGCAAACGCGACCTCGACCTCCTGAAAGTCTCCCCTGAATGGCAAACTCCCGTACATACTATTTTCCAGCAGCCGTCCCCTTGCTTGCTCTCGATCGAGTTTTAGTCGTCGACTTGTCCTATCCCTCAAGTTACTGCCCTTCCTTCATCTTGAACCGCATTTCCTTCATCTTTATTTCTCTTTCGTTACCAACCTTCATCCTTATCATCAAATCACCTCTTTTCGTCCCGCTTTCCTCACCCTTGAGTCGGTCATTTTCCTCCCAGACGTATCTCTTGCACATTTTCGTGATCACTGCCCCTGCTGCTGTCTCGCCTGACTATAAGTATTGTCGAGATTTGTCACTTGTTGCAGCCAGCAACTGTCCGCTTGCGGTCCTATCCTGTCTCAATCGTGGTCATCTGCCTATCATCCACCCCAGCCGGCTACAGCTTACCTCCGCGTGCTGCACTCCAGCTTTTCCCCAGCTTTCGACTCCATTCTAGGCAGTTTGGACTTGTTTCGTCTAGTTCGTTCTGATCAATTCAACCAAAAGGGCCTATGACAGCGCTTTGCTTGTCGATTATTACCGCGCATTCCGCCTGTACCGCGTCGCAACCTCACGCACACGCAATTTGTCCAAGGTCACTCCAAAGTACCTGATCCCCAAATCTGCGCTGCCGAGTGACGCAGTTTGAGCTACCACCAACCAGGGGTCCCGACAAGCCCAGAAGAACAAGGCCTGATACAGCGTATCTCAACTGACTAGGAACCCACCTCACACGCCCAATTGAACCCGCGCCCCAGTCAGGTATCGCTATCTTTTGCTGTGTTTACCAGTCAATCTCTTTTTTACCGATTGAATCCTGCCAGAGACACCGATAGACCCTGATTCCGCACCGTCCACACCCCGGTCACCCGACCCATCTTTCCCATTCCCCTCCGTCTATCGCTGGGCCGTTCAAGGTGCCGATGACCTCGTTGTCTCTCGGCCTTTCCCCTTCTCTTTCCGTACCTTTTACCTTCAATCTCTCTGCAGACGGGCGCTGCTGCTTAACAGCCCCATCTTCCCAAAATTCCTCCCTCAAAGTCTTCACGTCTTCCCTCAAACATTCCTCTACGGACCCTTCGTCCTGATAATCAACAACACCAAGACCCGGATTCACAAGCGACGTCATTGCTCGCGTCCCGCAACGACCACGATCGTGCCTACGACGACGATAGCGACGATAACCGCCAACACCGCCCCGGCGTTGCCAAGTCTCACCGTCGCTCGTCTTATTCTGGCTCCGAATCGTCGTGGACCGACACCGGCGATATTGGCGAGCAGCTGGCCGACGAGCACGACCCTGTTCGTTTACAGCTCTCTTCGGACGTTGAGGACGAACTTCTGGCCAACGTTCATCGCCGACATCCCAAGCACGGCAACCAGAAGAGGGTTCGCATCCAGGACTCACGTCACCACCGTCATTCTCAGTCGCGATCTACCCTTATCAACAAGGAGGCTATCGAGGTTCCTAACTTCAATCCCCCAGGTCCCTCTCGCGCTGAACGTGTACTTGGCGCCATCATGGCCGGACGTACAGGTTCAATCCATGGCCTGACAGGCAAGGCCCTGATGTAAGATTGTGCACTCTTGTCACTTGCAATTTTATAGACTGACCTTTACCAGCTACTTCACCAGTATCTTCGTATCACTCGGTGTTTTCCTTTTCGGATATGATCAAGGTGTCATGTCAGGTATAATCACGTAAGTTCTAACGCTCTTTGAACTCGTTTTGGTTTTGACTAATCGATTACCAGTGGACCATACTTCATGGATTACTTTGGTCATCCTTCCAAGGCATACGTTGGTACTATGGTTGCTATCTTAGAGATTGGTGCATTCATCACTTCCCTGATGGTCGGTCGCATTGGCGACATCATCGGTCGAAGACGCACCATCTTCTACGGGTCTTGCATCTTCTTCGTCGGAGGTGCTCTCCAGACTCTGGCTACTTCCATGCCCATGATGATGGCTGGACGTTTCGTTGCCGGTTTCGGAGTTGGCATGCTCTCGACCATTGTGCCTGTTTATCAATCTGAAATCTCGCCTCCTCACAACCGAGGAAAACTGGCATGTATTGAGTTCACAGGAAACATCGTCGGTTACTCAACATCTGTCTGGGTTGATTATGGCTGTGGCTTCATTGAGAGTGACTATTCTTGGCGCATTCCTCTTGGACTGCAATGCTTCATGGGTGCTCTGCTTGGACTCGGCAGTCTGGTCATTGTTGAATCACCTCGGTAAGTCAATCGTATTCGGTGTGCGTCGAAATGACATGCTAATCTCACAGATGGCTTTTGGACAACGACCATGATGAAGAAGGGATGGTGGTCATTGCTAACTTGTACGGAGGTGGCGACATTCATGATCCTAAGGCTCGAGACGAGTATCGCGAAATCAAGATGAACGTCCTTCTTCAACGCCAAGAAGGCGAGCGAACATATAAGGACATGTTTCGTCGGTACAAAACCCGAGTTTTTATTGCCATGTCCGCCCAAGCGCTCGCTCAGCTCAATGGCATCAACGTCATCTCCTACTACGCACCGTACGTCTTTGAGTCTGCTGGTTGGGTTGGCCATGACGCTGTCCTCATGACTGGTTTCAACAGTCTCACATATCTTATGTCAACAATTCCACCATGGTACTTGGTGGATCGTTGGGGTCGACGCAAGATCCTTCTTTCTGGTGCCACAGCCATGGCCATCTCACTATCGCTCATATCTTACTTCCTCTTCCTCGACATCAAGTGGACTCCTCGATTGGTTGTTCTGTTCGTCATGATCTATAATGCCGCTTTTGGTTACTCATGGGGACCTATCCCCTGGCTCTATCCTCCTGAGATTCTCCCTCTTAGCATTCGATCAAAGGGTGCCAGTTTGTCTACAGCGACCAACTGGGCGGCCAACTGGCTTGTGGGTGAAATGACGCCTATTCTCCAGGAATGGATTAAGTGGCGCATGTATCTGGTTCATGCATTCTTCTGTGTGGCCAGTGTGGTTATTGGTAAGTTCTTTTTGTCATGCCTGAGCCGGCACCGCCTTACTAACATGTTTTAAGTATACTTTATCTACCCGGAGACCTGTGGCGTGAGGCTGGAAGACATGGACTCGCTATTCGGAGACGCCAGTACCGTTGCTGGTACTCCTTCGTTACACGGCACTGAAACCGGTTCTTTGATGAGAGCCGGATCTCCTGTAGGATCTTCTCGAGGGCTCATTGGACCCTCATCTGCCATTCCTGGACTTTCCCTCGACCCCCCTGCGATCGATGATGACAGCAAGTCTCAGATGCAGTCCGGCGGTGATGAACGAAGTATTGGTGGCTGGCTATCAAGAGTGGTCGGACGAAACAGGTCCGACAGTGGAAGCAGCGCGCAAGGTCGGTATGCTCCTCTTGGTCAACAAGAAGAGGGCCGAGAAAGCCGACGTGATGACTACTGATGAAGTCTTTTGGAGTTTGTCTATAAGAATACCTGCATATAGATGGCGCACAAGGCGCAGGATGCGTTACCGCCAGGATAAGATAGCGCGGCGATCGCCTTGAAGGATACTGGAGTCACTTGATGGGAAAGAATCAATTAAAGGTGCCAGGGCTTAAGGGAGGCTTACGAAATGAAGGTGACGTTAGTGTGTGTGTATATTGTTGGATGAGAATCGCTGCATTTCCTTCAAGATCTATGGATCGATATATTTAGACCGAATTTTCATGGATTTAGACGGCTGACAATGGCCTGTATATCATATATACCCAATGAGAAGAGCGGCTTGGTACAGATAAAGAAGTGACCATGCTAAAGAAAGTGCTGTTGCTGCTGCGGAGTAAGGTTTGGCTCTTTCGCAGTTTACTGTCATGAACTCGATTTATTCCGTGATAGTTAAAGTGGGCCCATTACAACTTCTCACACATCGTGACGGGTGACACCAATGACATCTAAACTGTCTATCAAAATTCTGCAAGCATGGCTACCCCGACCGAGATAAGGTATGCTTACCGACATCTATATCGAAACATTCTCAAGGCAGTGCAATACACAATTCCTGCTCGCTTCGTAGCCCGCGATCAACTCCGGAGAGCCTTTCGCGAGCCAGGTGCCACATATGATGGACGGGGCATCAAGCGAACCATATGGTTTCTCCAGGCGGCAGCGAAAGAGAAAGGATTGGAGCATAAGATCTTGAAGAACTTATTGCGAGTCCGGCAGATGAGATACCGGAAACGAGATTACTCGGCTTATGATCCGTTGAAACATGTAGCGTAAGTCTGAATCTTCAATGAGTGAGCAGTGCTTATGTTGCGATTAGACAGGAGATGAAGGATGCAAATGTGACTGCGTATAATCATTATGATATGACGGTCGCTATGCTGAATAAAACGATGGGCCTCTGTCTTCGTTGACATTACTTGAGGCTCCCTGAAGTTTATGCAAAGAACAATCCGGTACGCCAGGACTTGCCGCGGAAACCTGCGGTGGCTGAAGTTCTTGGAATACAGACATACAGATACCAAGTTCGCAGACAAAGAAGGAACGAAAATACGGATGTGTATTTTGCTATCAAAGGCTTGAGGTACTGTAGAGGCTCCCCTAGCAGCTCTTTGCTGGGACGATGAAAGGGACCTGTGCATTTACGGTACTGGATACACAAGCAATAGGAGTTGTATGGTTGATGGCAGATCTTGGGCGGAATAACCGACAAATTATTTGCATACGTTCTTACTTGGGAATTCCCAATTCCCCGAACAGCGAGACCCTAAATAGTACATGTACAATACATTGAACACAAATCGCAATCCTCACTAGGCTAACCGAAGCCCTCAACGCCTTCATGAATGCTTTTCCTTTGTCTGTGATAGTCTTCTCCTTTAATCATGCTTGCTGTGTCTTTTCTCGGTATATGGAAGGAAGCTCTACTCCTCACTCGGAACGTCAATGTCGACACCAAGCTCCTCAGAAAAAACCTGGTTTAGGCTGGATCCATCACGAACGTAGATCCAGTCACCCACAGCTGTGCCCTCTTTCTCATTCTGACCCTCTCCAAAGAGGCACCAATCATAACGCTTAGGACCAGAGATGGGAGATGACAGCCATATCTGCTTATTAGGGGGCTGCTTGTTGATGATGTACGTGCCCTTGTCAGGCCAACTGATGCTGAGGACTCCAGCCTGTAGATAAATGTATCAGATGGGGTTGACGATAGTCGCATTAGTTATACGTACTGAGAAGTCGACGTCGATGTCTTCTCGCTGGTCTTGGAGTTCCTCAAACTTGCCGACAACATTATCGAGGTACTCGTCCGCAAGGTCATGATACTCTTGCTCAGTAATATCGGCGACAACAGCATTCTGATGGATCTCTTCGGCTTCGTTCAAAGGCTTGGCAGGATTCTCCGTATCAGGCATGATACCCCGCTTGTCGGAAATTGTAGTCGAGAAGCATTTTTGCGAAAGGGCACATCGGATGGAAAGGTGCGAGATTGCAGGAGCGATACGGAAGCTTGAGCGGCAGATGGGCGTTGAAGAGCGGATCGCTCGCGAAGCCAAGCGGGAAGCTTGAAATGCGATTTGTCGGGACATCTTGTTTGTTAGAAAATCAACTTTCGGGAATTGCGTCGTGACTGCAATACTGAATGGTTAGAAAGGGCCCGTAAATGAAAACCAGAATAGCATTCGCGGTGACGAGCTTGGTCAATCGCTGTTATTCAGAAGATGAACGAATTGAAGCAACCAAGCTCCCCACGGTCTGGATAAGTGCAGCTGCCAGGTGGGACTGACCAATTGCACCATGACTTCCATTCGTCAGTGCAGGTACGTACCGCAATTGTAGCTCCCCCATCCCGTCATCATCAGCTTTGCTTCTTCATTGCAGACACATGCCCCACCATTCACCATTTCAACCTACAATACCATTTGAATCCATACCTAACCTACTCCACTAGGTCATCTACGTTGGTTTATGTGAGGGCATGAGGAGCTCCTGTCCCTAATCATGATCAATGCCTTTCTGGTCTTCAACGGCCAAGGTCAGCCTCGTTTGACAAAGTTCTATACCCAACTGGTATGCTTTATCCCCTCCAGCTTTGTTACCAGAAACTCAGATGCGCCCCAAAGGAAACTAGTATACAACAGCGCCTCATCTCCGAAATATTTACACTCGTCTCGAATCGACCGGCCGGATCTTGTAACTTCTTACCCCTTCCACCTCTGCTCGCCGCTTCAGGCACCTCCCACACCTCCTCGGAAGAACAGAACGATGTTCCAACACTGGTAACATACCGCAACTATGCGACCCTTTATTTCATCGTCATCTCTACATCGACCGAGTCGCCGCTTGCCCTTATCGATTTGATCCAAGTCTACGTGGAGGCCCTCGACAAGCTGTTCGAGAACGTCTGTGAGCTGGACTTGATCTTCAACTTCGAAACCCTGCACTCTACCTTATCGGAAATGATAATAGGGGGCGTGGTAATAGAGACAAACCTAGATCGCATTGTCTCAGGGGTAAAGGCGCAAGGAACGGTCGCGAAGAGACCTGTGAACGAAGGAAGAGGGCCCACTGGCCTGGGAAGTGGACTTGGTATGGGTGCCAATTTTGCTTGGACTGGGCGATGAGGATTACGTCTATTCAGAGCGACGAACGACACGCATGACAGAGCGGATTACAAGATGTGTCTGCCTGTTGAGATATCCATATATGTTTCGTCTCTACGAGACTAACGCCGAACTCCAAGTATTGAATAATATACATATAGAATACACTATTTTGATTCTGGCTCGTCCTTTGGGGGATGAAAAGGCGGCGCATCTGGGCGTCGTTCGTATCGCTTCTCCGGATCGACTGTGCCGAATAGATATTGTGTCTTCTTACGAATCTAATGATGGCGTTAGCAGTTATTGGTTCTTCTACAATCACAAATACGAACCTCTTCAGAAGGCTTATACTTCTGACCCCACCATTCGAACTCGGAGTAGAAGCAGATCCAGATCAGTGCAGCTGGGGCTCGAGTTAGATAAGTCTAGAAATGATTGCGTGAGGATAATCTTACCAACAATCGTCAGGAGCTGAGCAGTCTTGACAAATTTCACCCATCGCGGTGCTCGACTTGCTAAGATAATGCGACGCTTGTACTTCTTCTCAAACCGGAGTTGTTGCTGGACAGTAAGCTGCTTGAAGTTCGGAGGCCACACTTTTCGGGCCTTGTAAGGATTGGTTGCCACCGTCAGAGGAGCCTTCTTGAGAAGGCCTTCCTTTGAAGACGAGGCCATGCGTCTCATCAGAGTGGAAAACATTGTGATTGAGTCGCTTCGGACCTCTCTAGTGACTCAATGGTTCAAGACATGACGCTTCGCATGAGGATTGTGGTTAGTGTTGGAGAATCTCCAATAAGCGCCACATCACCAGCCACATCACCAGCCACATTGATGCACTACTGTATGAGTGTGCCCCGCGATTTTCACCCCTCCTTCTCAAGTCCGATTCAATCCCTTCCAAACAGTGACTCAAAAATTTCCACGGAATTTCGAAGTGCGTATTGTTCACTCAACCTTCATATTTCAACATACTATTGAGGGGGAAACTGACAATATTTTCTCTTTCTTCCCAGGTCTCGTCCATTTGCGACCATGGCTTCTACCGATTCTGTTCCCAAGGCCATGGAGGCTCTCAACATCTCCAAGACCAAGGAGCTCAAAGGTGCAGGTCCAACTTCCTCCATCGTTTACAAGTAGCCACTCTAACTATGAGCAGACTGAGAAGCGAGACACTTTGATCGCACTCGAGAAGAAATATCAACAGAAATGGCAGGACGAGAAAGTCTTTGAAGCTAATGCTCCCACCACGGATGAAGTGCCCCTCCACTCCATTCCCGCCGCCGAACTTCGGGAGCAGCAGCCCAAATTCTTTGGAACCATGGCCTACCCTTATATGAACGGAACCCTCCACGCTGGTCACTCTTTCTCCGTCAGCAAGGTTGAATTCGCCGCTGGTGTGGCACGCATGCAGGGAAAGCGAACCCTCTTTCCCATGGGCTTCCACTGCACTGGTATGCCCATCAAGGCTTGTGCCGACAAGCTCGTCGACGAGGTCAAGATGTTTGGCCAAGACTTTTCGGGTTACAAGGATGATGAGCCTGTTGTCGAAGAGAAAGCCCCCGTTGCCAAGCAGACCAAAGAGGATATCACCAAATTCAAGGCTACGAAGGGCAAAGCTGCGGCGAAAGCTGTCAAGATGAAGTATGTAGAGCTTCTGCCCTCGAAATTTCCAACTTGCTAATATATAACACAGGTACCAGTTTCAGATCATGCAAGCTATCGGGATTCCCGCTGAGGAAATCCACAAATTCGCTGACCCTCAACATTGGCTTCAATACTTCCCTCCACTGTGTAGGGAAGACCTGACCAATTTTGGTTGCCGTATCGACTGGCGCCGGTCGTTCGTCACCACCGATGCTAACCCTTACTACGACGCTTTCGTTCGATGGCAGATGAACAGCCTCAAGGCGCTGAACAAAATCAAATTTGGCAAGCGATACACCATCTACTCTATCAAGGATGGCCAGCCTTGTATGGACCACGACCGAGCTGAAGGTGAAGGTGTTGGCCCTCAGGAATATACTGCCCTGAAGATTAAGGTTCTCGAATGGGCGCCCAAAGCTGCCGAGACCCTGAAGGATAAGCTTCCGGATGGTGTCAATGTTTACCAAATCGCGGCCACTCTAAGACCTGAGACTATGTATGGCCAGACTTGCTGTTTCGTTGGCCCTAAGATTACCTACGGGATCTTCAAAGTAAATGAGAGCGACTACTACTGTATGACAGAGCGCGCAGCAAGGAATATGGCGTACCAGGGTATCTTTGCTAAGGAGGGGGTCATTGAGAAGGTTGCTGAGATCATTGGCTCCGACATGGTTGGCACTCTTGTTGATGCTCCTCTCTCTCTACACAAGGAGGGAGTCCGTGTCTTGCCTATGGAGACTGTTCTCCCTACAAAGGGCACTGGAGTTGTCACTTCCGTGCCTTCTGACAGTCCCGATGACTTTGCTACTGTGACCGACTTGGCTAAGAAGGCTGATTATTATGGGATTCAGAAGGAGTGGGCCGAGCTTGAGATCTTCCCCATTATTGAGACACCCACTTACGGTGACCTCTGCGCCCCTTTCCTAGTCAAGAAGCTCAAGATTGCCTCCCCCAAGGATACAAAGCAGCTCGAAGAGGCCAAGGAGCTTGCTTACAAGGAGGGCTTCTACCAGGGTGTTCTGAAAGTAGGTGAGTTCAAGGGCGAGAAGGTCGAGGTCGCCAAGCCCAAGGTCCGACAGCAGATGATCGACGCTGGTCAGGCATTTGCCTACTCTGAACCTGAGCGCAAGGTGGTCAGCCGGTCAGCCGATGAATGTATCGTTTCTCTTATGGATCAGTGGTACCTGGACTATGGCGAGGAATCGTGGAAGAAGACCGCCCTTGACTATGTGGACAATGGTCTCAACACTTACACACCTGAAGTAAAGAACAGCTTTGAAGGAGTTCTCAACTGGTTGAACCAGTGGGCCTGTGCTCGCTCCTTTGGTCTTGGGTCTAAGCTGCCCTGGGATCCTCAATTCCTTGTTGAGAGTCTGAGTGATTCGACTGTCTACATGGCCTACTACACTATCGCACATCTTTTGCACAAGGACATTTTCGGTAAGACCAAGGGAAGCGCAAATGTCGAACCGGAACAGATGATCGACGAAGTCTGGGACTATATCTTCTGCCGCCGTGATTTAAGTGACGAGATCGTCACAGGCAGCAAGATTCCCAAAGAAACTCTGGAGAAGATGCGCCGCGAATTCGAGTACTTCTATCCTCTCGACGTGCGAGTATCAGGCAAAGTGAGTGAAATGAAAGTACTTACATTGAGATGAGGGGAGACTAATCTTCGTGCTCTACAGGATCTGATAAATAACCATCTCGTTTTCAGTTTATATTCCCGTTCGTTACCTTTTCCTATCTTCCTCGTTTTCTGTTCTCTGATTTCCCCTGGACTTTTGTGAATTTTCTGGATTTTCCTGAACCTTTCTATTTTCTGGCTCCCTTACCTCGTTCCAGGCAAATTTAGTATCCTTTGACTAACACTTCTCAGATTTGGCCCTATTCTCTCAAGAGTACTGGCCTCGAAGTATCCGAGCGAACGGTCATTTGATGTTGAATGGCGAGAAGATGAGTAAGAGCACTGGTAACTTCATGACTCTCCGAGACTTGACAGAGAAATACGGTGCGGATGCTTCTCGTATTGCTCTTGCAGATGCCGGTGACGGTGTAAACGACGCCAATTTCGAGGAGGATGTTGCCGATACGAACATTCTGCGATTATATACTCTCAAAGAGTGGTGTGAGGACATCGTTCGGGATCAGGATCAGCTTCGAACTGGCGAGTTGAATTCGTTCCAGGACGCTTTGTTCAACAACGACATGAACGCGGTTATCAAGGAGGCTGTTGAGCAGTATGCCAACACCAACTACAAGCTGGCCTTGAAGGCTGGTCTATATGAGTTGACGAGTGCTCGCGATTTCTATCGAGAAGCCTGCGCAGCAGCTGGTATAAAACTGCACCGCGATCTTGCCCTCCGGTATATCGAGGTACAGGCTCTGTTGCTGGCGGTCGTTGCTCCTCACTGGTCTGAGTACATTTGGCTTGAGGTGCTGAAGAACAAGGGCACTATTCATAATGCTCGATTTCCCGAGATTAGGGAGGTCGATGCATCCCTGTCGGCAAAACGTGACTATGTACGAACCACTGCTTCCAACGTCAACTCGGCGGAGGGTCTGCAACTGAAGAAGAAGGCCAAGGGCAAGGAGACATCTTTCGACCCCAAGAAGCCCAAGCAACTCACAATCTTTGTCACGGACAAATTTCCAGCTTGGCAAGCGAAATACATTGATCTCCTGAAGGAGATGTGGAACGTGGAGGCCAAGTCAGTCAACGATAAGGAGCTCAATGGCAAGATTGGCAAGATGGGAGAGATGAAGAAGGCCATGCCATTTGTGCAGAACCTCAAGAGACGACTTCAGGCTGGTGAGCCAGCGAGCGTGGTACTGGAGCAGAAGCTGGCATTCAACGAGAAGGAGACTCTCCTACAGATGGTTCCTGGATTGAAGCGAACTAGCGGCCTAGTTGCTTGCCACATCATCTCAGTCGAAGAGGGCAGCAAGAAGGGATTCAACCTCGGAGATGGTAAGGAGGTGGAGCTTTCAGTACCTACAGCCGAGCATGCAGTCCCTGGACAGCCAACATTCCATTTTGAAAATGTCGAGGCTTGAATGTAAGAGCTAAGAGAAGGAGATCTTGCTTGTTGCTAAAATAGAAAGTATCACGCGTGAATGCATACAAACCCATCGGTTGAGGTTACGTGTTCCTGCATCAGATGTGTGTACTGTGTGTGGGTCGACAGATCTGTGTTTTGGGTTAAAATTGGAAAAGACGTCGATCAACTATACTAGGTAGGTAGAGACGGCTCGCTTTGTTATGCCTGGCATGATCGCCGTGATTTTGATTTTGATTTTGATCTGGATTGAACCCCATGTAGGCCTCCCTCTTGGCCTTTAGTCACCTCGATGCTTGATCCTCCGTACTCGATACAGTAATCCGGATTCTTCGGTAGGCTATTCTTGTCCTTAGGACTCGGTACACGCATACGCTTACGCTGACATCACGTAGTGCTTTGCCACTATACAATAAGCCGAAAAAGTGGCAGTGATAGTAACGAGATTCGATAATAGGCACAGAGGAGTCATGCGGTGATTGTGATAATTCCGATACTTATTGCCAAGTTGCAAAACAGTAATTATTCCAGAACTTGACAGAACACGGTTGAGCTTACAAGGTTGAGTCAAATGAGACAGGGGTATTTGATAGCATCAACGACGCGAGAGAAGGGCTTGGTGCTATTGCATGGTTTGTTTCAACGACATGCAAAATTTCAATGGAAGTTTACTCACATCGAAACAGACAGTCTGACCGAGCTTCTACCTTTGGCTTTTTTCTCCGAGCACTACATGAACAGGGCAGGGGACACTCATTAATTTGATATTGAATATTTCCGGTTGCATCCCCATTTGGTCTGTAACAAACCCCTGGGGGACATAATGGATGATGAATGCTATCGAGAAATGTTCCGGGGCAATAGGCAGTAATAATAAACAAAAGGGGCTCAAAAGCTTGTTCATGCAAAAATATGGAGTTTTCCGGGTCGGTTAAAGGAGACATAGATTGAAGGGGGGATATTCAAGTTCAAGGGACCTAGTCATCATCACTATACCTGGACACTCTCCTCCAACCGTTGATTCAGATTAAAACATGGAATTATGGATACATACTGATGGGTTCCATCAATTGCGCGTCTTGCGCGGTGTGGGAGCGATGCAGGCGACGGAAGCGGTAGAGGACGGGAGCCAGACAAGGCCAGAGTGCCGGGGCCAAGCTAGCAAGAAGCCGGCAGGGGCAGTGAGCTTGATTTTCTATGGAACCACTATAACAGCACAGGCCATTCATATTTGCTGTTTTGCTGGGTTCTTTGGGCTAATAAGTGAACGAGAAAGTTCGAGGCAATCGATCATGATGGGGCTTGCCGGAATGTCCGCGTTGTTTCGTTTTAATGCCATGCGCGATAAGAAATGATAATATAGTGAGAGTGGCTGGACGATCATTCCTGTTTATTCCCTCTCCCTCTCCTTTTCCCCTTGACTGGTGGCTTTGTGGTTGCTGTTAAGGCCGCAGCCTGGTCTGGGCTACTTGATTCTGCTTGCGCGTCAGAACCACAATTAAAAAAATCCAACACAGATCTACAGATTATTAGTCCGAGCCGCAAAATACAATCCTAGCACTTGGACCAGCCGCAAGATTTCAGGGCACAGGCGACAGGCTAACAGGGCACAGGGATATGAAGGTCTCATCTGCAACTGCGGGAGAAGGGGAAATAGGGAATATCGGCACCCGCTATTCGCGCGGATTCCTTGTGCTTGCATATTGTTCCGTCTATGCTTTCCAGTAATTATCAACAGCGAGCTGGTTGGTGTTGTTGTGCAACCCGTCTCCAGTTATCTTGTGGTTGTTTTTAGAAACATTCTCTGGCAGAATCGGGCGGTTTTTTTTTATTCGCCTTGGTCTGGAAAGCTTGCGCAATCCGCCTCCACCAACCCCAAACAAACTAACCCACGCCCAGCAGCGACCATTCATGATTGTTCCCTGATCCTCAAAGGTTCAGATACAGTGCAGTATACATAATCAAAACTTGGTTGCGTTTATGACGCAAGTCTCTTGTTGCCCAGTGAGACTGTGTAGGTCTATAGAACGGCACGGCTGATCATCTTGAGGACTGTTCCTGTTTCTATGAATCTTTGGAGGTTGGTGTTGGCTGGCTAGGCTGGACCTGAACATTCTGCAGTGTTGTTATGCTTAGTTGGCTATCTCTCCCGTGGTGTGCATCCATCATGTCAATATCTTGTCGTCTTGCATATGGCTGCGGGCAGTATCAGATCTTGGTTGGTTGATCTAGCAACAATATACCGTAGTGCATAAGCATCAGCATCAGCGGAACAGTTGGTGTGAGGCTGGGTCTATCTATTTTTTGCTGATTATTGAATTACCCACTGTACAGCCGCGTCAATCCTGCGCTGCAATCAACCAGTGTAGTCCAGCGTGACTCAACAGAGAGCCTTCCTTTCACTGCAGCCTCAACCGACACTGTAGATTGCGTTGACTCTGTGCCTTGATTTTCAGACAGAGAAAACAAAAGTCAGTGTGGACCCCCCCAGCTCTGTAACTGACGCACCGGATCAACTTCCTCGTTGAGGCCCTGGCATCTGGTATTGGGTGATATTGAAATATCCTGGCGGTGGAGTCATGTATAGTACAACGGTGGAACTCGAAGACACCAAAAGAAGTGGGTGGCTTGGGGTTGGGATGATGCAACCGCCCCCTGGGGCTGGTATCATGTATCATGTATGTACTGCACCGACTGACTCTCCTCTCAATCCTTGCGAGGCTCTCAGGTATATAGGAGTCGAAGCTCCTCTGCTCGTTCAGTCATTTCCTCATTCTCAGCATCCACTCAACAGCTACTACAACTACAATCGCTACATCAACACTCGTTTAAACCCGATCTAATTCTCTTCGAACTCTTCTACCAACAACCAAACAACCTAAAACCACCGTCAAAATGCACGCTTCCGCTGCCGTCCTCGCTTTCGTCGCTGTTGCGGCTGCTGCCCAGACCCCTGTGGCTCCTGTTGCTACTCCCGTCGCTACTCCCGGTGCCCGTTAGTTCCAACCCTATCTCACGATCCTCTCACGACAGTTCAACTAACATCAGTCAACAGCCACCAACGGTACTAAGCCCGGCTCTGGCTCTGGCTCTGGCTCTGGCTCTGGCTCCGGCTCCGGTTCCGGCTCCACCCCCGCCAACGGCGCTGCTGCCCTCGGTCTCAGCGGTCTCGCTGGTGCTCTCGCTGTTGCCCTTGCCCTGTAAATTTTGACATTTGGAACTTGTACAGGGTTTGGTGGATATGAGGACATGCTGCATTCTGATGCATAGTCCTGGAGGAACCGTGCTGGTGCGCGTTTAACTTTCGATGGAGATAGATCGGGAACGTTTTGTCCTGACTAGAATAGATAGACCAATGGAGCGAAATCACCTCCAGCTATATTAATACTAATCGCGTACCACCATCGTTGTCTGGTTTTTCTTTCTTTTTCGTTGAAGTAATTTTTTATTACCCTGAGCCCATTTGAGCCTCTCGTAGTCCTGCTTGTCTCTGAATACTTGGTAGTAACACTGAACCAAAGGAGTAACGGCGGCAAATTTATTTCCGGCGTGACGTTTGTGTTGTGCTCTTATCTTAACTTGCTGGGGTCTCAATGACTTCTTCCCTGCTCATCGCCCTTGTAAATTGGTAGATTGTGGCGGAGACACAGACCCCCTGTGTTGCAAAGAAAAAAAAAACCACGACAATCGGTTTGGTGACACATGGATGGATTTTCGTGTAAGCGATTCTCATGGTTTTTGCAACCCCGTAGACAGAGTTCATGGAATGAGCCGGGCTTCCAGGTAACCTGGTGGTCACTCTTGCCCTACCAAGGGAGAGGTTGCTGCTCGTATTGGTTTGGGGACGTTGCGAAAATGGAATTTCAAGGATTCCGGAAGTTGTGGCCGATTTACCGGTGTCGAGTTGGATAGAAGCCACAATCTCCTCAGGGGGTGTCGTGCTCCCGGCGGAAGGGCGATTGTCGTGCCGGGCCTATTCGCATGGGTAGTCGCAATTTTTATGATTCTATCGCCATTCTTGCTTCACTCAAGCGGCTATAGGAACCTGTCCGCCCGAGGTGCCTGAAGTGGGAGGTTTTGGTAGGTCATCCTGAAATTGTTAACAGAAAGCCACGAGCAAATCTTTGTCGCAAGACATACCAGATCAAAAATAACCCGGATCATGAGACTGCAACTAGGACATACGGCAATATCCTGCTCGTCCAGCAAATCCTCGAGTGTGATTTGAAACTTGTCGCCACAAGGACATGGGAACTGGTAAACCCCCATAGCCTCGTCAAAAGTCATATCCTCGATCTCGACCTCATCGTAGATGGAAATACCCTCGTCGTCGGACATTGTAGCTGCTAGTTGATGGCTAATGTGGTCGTAACGAGAAAGGTATTCTTCGGTGATGTTGTGTTTATCCAAAATATTCAGAAAAGGTGCCCCGCGATGCGATCAAAAAAGTCATCCCCGCGTAAAGTGGCTCAGATTTTGAAAGGTGGCTGTGCTCAGCCTGTGGCTGTTGAGTCAAATGTCAATCACATGCCGAGCGCAATAGGAAAATGTGGGGAAGCTTACACCTGCCCCAGATTCATCGACCGAGGAAGCTACTGTATGGGGAAACTGCCATCGATATCTTGGAGCTCACGAGACGTCCTTGGTCATGTAGCGCAAGAATCTTACTCCCTTCAACACTTTGAATTCTTTTTCTCTTTCTTTGGCTTTGATCCCAAGACCTTTATTTGAACCAGTGCTTGATTTTTACTTGGATACCATTCGACTTCTGATTTCCCCATGGGCCTAACTGCTTTGAATAGATCTGTGATGTGACGTCGATACGCCTCGGCTCAACCCCAATCTCGACTACGTTTCGACTTCAAGGGATTAAAGAGTTATCGCTAGGGATCACTCAACAATATTACGGATTATACAATTATCAACTTAGTCTACAGAGTCTCTGGGTCTGCGCGCGCGTCATGGCATCGCAATCGAAGCTCGCCTTGCCGGGCGATCGCACCCTCCGGGGCATCATCTCGCAACTCACAACCCTCTACGTATCCAATCGCACACGTATCTCACGCGCTGTATGGATAACGCTGTTCGCTGCCCTCGCTAATCGAATTCGCCTTGCCATCTCCGAGCAAAAGGCAGCCTCCGCCCGTGAATCTGCCCAGCGCGCAGCCCGTCGCGGTACCACTTCCAGTGGAACCGAGGAAACACCCCGAAAGAAAGTCGAGCTGAATCGCGAGTTCTTTCGGTCATTGCTTCGGCTACTTAAGATTGTTGTTCCAGGATGGCGCAGCAAAGAGTCGAGGCTACTGATGAGCCACAGCCTCTTCTTGGTTCTCAGGACTTTAATTAGTCTACGCGTCGCCGAGATGGATGGTGCTATTGTGAAGGCTCTCGTGAAAGGAAACGGAAAGGAATTCCTAAAGCGCATAGTATGGTGGATGCTCATAGCGGTCCCTGCGACCTTCACCAACTCCATGGTAAGCCTAATTATTCCCCGATGTTCGTTGCTTGCTCACAACTGCTTTAGCTATCGTATCACCAAGCTGAGCTGTCGCTTAAATATCGATCGCGACTAACGCAGCATATACATGACAAGTACTTATCCAATCTGACTTTCTATGGTATCTCGGCTTTGGATGATAGAATAAAGAATCCAGATCAACTGATTGCGGTCGATGTATCAAAGTTCTCCAATAGTCTGGCCGAATTGTACAGCAATTTAGCCAAACCTCTACTCGATATGGTATGTTGAGTTGCTTGCACTTACCAGCAAAGTCGCTGACATCATTCAGACAATATATACCTGGTCTTTGTCGAATAGCGTCGGTGGTGAAGGTGTTGTCTTCATGTCACTCCTTGTCCAATTATCAGCCAACGTGATGAGAGCACTAACTCCGCCGTTTGGGAAATATGTTGCAGATGAAGCAAGGTTGGAGGGCGAATTCCGCTTCCAGCACTCACGCCTTATCGATTATAGCGAAGAAGTCGCTTTATACGGCGGCCACAACGCTGAAAAAGACACGTTAGACAAGGGTTACTTTACTCTCATCAAGCACGTCAACTACATCCTCCGTCGACGATTTTACCACGGATTTATGGAAGATTTTGTCATTAAATATTTCTGGGGCGCCCTTGGTCTGATGCTCTGCAGTGTTCCCGTCTTCGTCAAGATGCCTGGTCATATCGCGATGAATATGGGCGATCGAACAGAAGCCTTTGTCACCAACAGACGGATGCTTCTCTCTGCATCCGACGCATTTGGCCGTATTATGTTCTCATATAGAGAGGTTATGGAACTGGCAGGCTATACGTCTCGTGTTGCTACTCTACTGGATGTAATGGATGATGTCCAGGCTGGTCACTTCGAAAAGAAGCTCGTCTCCTCTTCGGGCGTTGAAGGCAACGAGGCTGTTCTCAAGGGGCGTGGAACTGTCCACGAGAGTAACGACATCACTTTTATTGATGTGTAAGTTGGAGATCACTGCCCTCTGTTACTACGCTAACCCATTCGCCCAAATAGACCCATTATCTCACCTAACGGTGACGTGCTCATCAAAGCTCTGTCTTTCACTCTCAAACACGGAGACCACTTGCTTGTTGTTGGGCCTAACGGCTGTGGAAAATCGTCTCTTTTCCGCATTCTCGGCGGTCTCTGGCCTGTTTATGGAGGCACAGTCTACAAGCCCCCTTTCCACGCCATATTCTACATCCCCCAACGGCCTTACCTTTCCCGCGGCTCCCTTCGCCAACAAATAATTTACCCGGATTCTCTTCGCCAGATGCGTGCTCGTGGTGTCACAGACGCAGACCTTTTCGAGTATCTCAAAATCCTTGGTCTTGAGCACCTACCCGAATTATACGAGGAAGGTTGGGACGCTGAGGCTGAGTGGCGCGATGTTCTTTCTGGTGGCCTCCAACAGCGTGTTGCCATGGCTCGGCTCTTCTACCATCGCCCTAAGTACGCTATCCTTGACGAGTGTACCAGCAGCGTTACCCTTGAGACAGAGAAGGCCATGTATGATACAGCAAAGGCCCTAGGCGTCACTCTCATGACTGTCAGTCACCGCCGAAGTTTGTGGAAGTATCACTCCCATATCCTTCAGTTCGATGGCCAGGGCAACTATGTTTTCACCAAGCTTGATGCCGATCGACGCCTCAAACTTGAGGATGAGAAGGAAGAGCTGGAGGTTCGGTTGCGCCAGGTCCCCGAATTGGAGCGCCGCATCGCCGAGTTGACGGCTGCTTAGGCGGCACAACCTATATTATGGTTTGAGTGGAAATATTACCGAATACCCGTGGCTGAATAGTTGCACAGATACAAGTGTATTTCCTTAAAGGTACTTAGACGTTGGCGTAAAATGTTTAATTGATATGGCAGTATGCCACAGGCAATAATTGAAACAGCTTCTTCGCCAACCACTTGATGGTATCCTGCATATTTGTAATATACTGAGATATAAAACCGTGCCAAATCTCTGGATGGATAACCAAGCTGGCTTTGCGTTATACATAGTCGAGGAGAACAGAGCTTATGTACACGTCCCTGGAGGTGTCATGGCTCCCAACCCATCCACCAAACCTCTCATGTCAACCATCCTTCCAAAGCCTATCCCGATATCTCACCCACTCCTCTGGTTGCGAGGGTGAAAAGGGCATGTATTCTTATGCAGGCTGTTATCGCCTCTCATGATAGCCTGATGGTCGGCGCCGCATTCCCAGCAGAACTCATGCCCACATCTTGAACCTGTAATACACAAGAATCAGCACTGCATGGGTATTTCGCTTATAGCTAGCTAGCTGGGGGGAAAAACTGCGGCCTACCGCATAAACTAAGTAAATTGGGCAGTGCCATGGATCTTGTTGCATTTCTCAACTACTTGATACAGACTCATTGGCACTACTCAATTTAAATCTGAACAAATGAAACAAGGCACAAGTGTACGCTGCTCCATTTCTTGCCGCAGAGCCAACAAAATTGGTATTTGCATTTTGCACCTGCTATGATCAGTGTCCATATAACGTGGCCGGCGTGGAGGTCCTGTGTGATCGCATAGTACCCATGATAGTGAAGCAGCATTATAGCAAGACTTGCATGTGTGGAAAGATAAAAAGAAAACAGCAAAAGCGGCAAGGAACTTACATGTCATATGTGCACTATAGTTCCTGTTAGTACCGTGTTTGCCTTTATAGAACACGAAGATTTGATGCTTACCAGCCGGATCTCTTCTCGATAGCCCATCCGCATCCTCCACATGGTTTTGTTGTAGTTCTCAATGTTGCATTGCTCTTTGCCTCTTCTTCCCTCCTTCTGGCTGCAATTTTGCGCCTTTCTTCTGCTGCATTCTGCTCTCGTTGCCTCTGATGCCTCTCTTGTTCTAGTTGTCGTTGCCTCTGACGTCTCTCTTGCTCCAGTTGTCGTTGCATTTCCTGGTTCCTCCGTCTCTCTCGTTCCAGCTCTCGTTGCCTCTCCTGCTTCTCCCGTTTTTGTTCTCGCTGTCTCTCCTGCTTCTCCCGTTTTTGTTCTTGTTGCCTCTTATGGTTCTCTTGCTCTAGCACTCGTTGCCTCTCCTGATTCCTCTGTCTCTCACGTGCTCGTGCTCGTTGCCTCTCCTGTGTTTCTCGCTCTAGCTCTTGTTGCCTCTCCTGGTTTCTCTGCCTTTCACGTGCTCGTTCTCGTTGCCTCTCTTGGTTCGTCTGTCTCTCTAGCTCTTGCTCTCGTTCGCGTTCTCGCTCTCTCGCTCTCCGATCTTGTGCCTCTTGGCGCTCAATTTCAGCATTTTCTTCAGCTTCCAACCTGCGAGCGACGTCCAAATCTGCCTCTTCTTGAGCTTCTTGAGCTGCTTGAGCCTCCTCCCACCTTTCATTTTCCAGTTTCATGTAGCTACGGAATTCTGGATCCTCTTGAAGCCGATCATACTCGTCGCAAGACAAGTCTTCATGCCAGTTGACTCCGTGGCGAAAACATGAGCGATGATTGCATTTAATGCAAACTACGATGGGTTGAGCAGACCCAGAGTCATGGATCTGTCCAGAGCCGCAATCAGAGGTACACCAGAAGAAGTTCTCCTCGTCTGCCACAGCAGCTCGAAGAGCCTGTCTTTCGTATCTATACGATGTTAGTCGTATTCTATCGGTTTGAGTACTATATTCATACTTGGAAATTGTCTGTTCATCGGCAAGGCGTTGAATGTCGTTATGTTCTAGTCTTTCTTTGCACTCGTCGCAACTGATTTCGTTCCAGTATTCAGTCTTTATGGCCACTTGGATTGATCGCACCATGCAATCCAAGCATATAGAAGGAGTGTGCGTGCATTTCGAGGTGACAAAATCTGGAAAAGAATTTGGAGCTTTCATGTCGCTCAGGCAAGACACTCTCGGCCGCCTATTGCGCTTACTGTCACAGCATCACTGTCCGGTGACTCGGGCAGATCAAGGTACGGGCTTGCAGAGGACGAAGACGAAGACGATGCGGTGGCGACGGTGCTAGCTATCGGTTGTTCATTGGATGAAGTACTGTTGTGTCTGATATCGGAAATCTTATCACCTGTATTCTCAAGGTCGAAGTCTGCAAAGTTTAGGATAGACGCGGGGGTAGGATAATAGCCTTGTCGAGGCGACAAAGCAGAAGTAAACCCATGAGCGACAACTATATCGCGATGAGACTCTGCAGTAAAGTCAAATTCATCGAGAAAAGAAGGACGTTGATAGCGAAAATGGGCTTGTGTTGATGGTACAGGGGCTGTATCGTACGCTTGAGACTGAGCCGTGTTACTCGATGAAGAGTCTTGAGGTTTGTTCGTTCGATTTTGCACTGCAGTAGCACTACTGTCGTCTTCAAAACCACCCGTAATGGTCGGGTTAATGCGCCCATAGAAGCTGCTATTTTGGGCGGACATGTCGTTGGTGCGCGCAACTTTGGACTGTTGGCGAGGCGGTTGAATAGGGGGGCGTTGCTCAGGGTTGCGTTTTTGAGAGGGAGAATGGCGAGAATTTGAGTATCGACCAGGGGAAGGACGTGTCTTTTTTGCAGTCACTTTGTTCCTGCGCTGAGTGACAGCGGCAGTGTCAGTGTCAGTGCCATTTCTGGTTCTCGGGGTAGATGTCTGATTAGTCGAAGTTGAAGTTGAAGTCGTTGCCTTGACCTTCTTCTTTTTTGGTACCACCTTGTGGCCTTTGTTTCTCCTGAAGCATAGCATTTTGCAAAGACATCAGAGCACTCAGAAAAGGAAACACAGGGTTTCACAAAGGAAGCAGGTACCCGATCTCCCGTCCAGGAATAAGTTGAGGTTTCACAGCCCTGCCCAGGTTAGGAGGCAATGTTGAGTGGGTGAGTATGATGTTTGATGATGGTTTGCAAAAAAGTTGATCGACACAAGTTCAAAGCAGTGGGGGACTTTATGTACTCTGCCAACGTTAAGTTCAAGGGAGATACCTTAAGGCTACCACCAAAGAAAGTAAGAAAGAAAGAAAGAAAGAAAGTAAAACTGGTGTCTTGGAAGTCAGTTCCGCAGCTGGAGGCCATCCTTACACCACATTGGCCCGAGAAGCCTGCAGTGGGTTAAAGCAAAGGGCAACCTGTTAGGCTTCATCGGAGGGCAATTGAAGCCATTCACGACCACGAATTCGACACACCATCCTTAGACCCTTAGTCCCCAATCCATGTGCGTGCCGTATTAAGGTTATAACATGGATCCCATGTGGCCCCCCGCCTTCTCAAGCCATCTTAGGCCGATGCACCCACCCCCTGGGGCGGTATAGGTATGGTCGACTACCTTACCCAGGTAAGGTCCTGAGGTAGGTACAGTAGATCACAAGCGCAATGACGAGAAGTGTGCTACCGACTGATAATCACTCTTCTTTGAATATGTGAACTAGATCAGCTTGGTACATTTTATCCAACAACCTGTGCCAGAGCCACCAAAGTTTGGTCCAAATATGGATATCATTACCTTGCTTACGGCTTGAGACTCGCAGATATAAGAATCACCCTGAGCATATAGATGAATTTAAACATATTCATATGATACAGTACTAAAGCGCTGGTCTGTCAGAACAGTTAACATAAAGCATACAAAATTGCCCCAAAGAAACTTACTTTGGTAGATCAGAGTGTAACTAGTGGATGCGGAGGTATACACAGCCTCGATCTTACAGTTCAGCTCGTAGTACCATTGGCCATCCCATCCCTTTCTGCGACGTAGCTGATTCTCCGGAATATGATTGACGTCTGCTTCAACGATTGAGAGAATCCCGACATTGTCGTTGCGGGACAATGGAGCATCTCGAGACAAAGGGTCATTGTATATAGTCATCCTGACCGTTCGAATGCGTCCTTTACTCACAGGATTTGTCCATACAAATGCGGCGATATATGGCTCGTTCTCAGATACTGTCGAACCCTATTGTGATGTCAGTTTGGTAGGATTTGCTAAGTGAAATGGCGTCTGTCAACCTACTCTCGTAATGAACCACTCCATGACTCGGACTTTGTAGCAGCCGTCGAGACCGCACCAATATCTTTCGCTCTTTAGATTTCTGTGAGACTTTTCATCCCAACGAACACTCCATTCAGTGCCATAGTGTTTTCGGGCCTTGCGGTTTTCCACTTTGACCACTGTGGAGTCTGGGGATGAAAGAGCAAGTCCTTTGAGCACTGCTCCCTGTACAATAGCCTGCCATGCGTTGGGGGGCTGCAATATCCGTACAGAGCTATCTATGGCAGCTCGAAGTCGCTCCTTGAGGTAATTTGAGGACCCAAATCCGCCTACCAGAAGAATGGCTTGAACAGGCACATTGCCTGCTGTGATCTGATCCTTTACCAATCTGATGACCTCAAGCACCACAGGCTCAAATATTTTATGAACGTCTGATGCCTTCAAGGCGAAACGACCACGACTGATGCCGAGGGACTTATTGTTTGCCAATCCTGCTACAGGGATGTTATAGGTCTCGTCAGGTTCAGCGTTGAAAGCGAACTGACGCTTGACCTTGTTCTCAAACACGTCCAGAGCCTCAGCCACGATCTCGTCATCGAAGCCCTCTTCTTTGCCGAGTTTACTCTGAAGAAACTTTGAGAAGCGCATGTTGAGAAATGTTGAGCCGCAAAGTGCACCTGAACCAGGAGCCGCTTCCTGAACCTCCAGGATAGGCTTCGTGCTCAGGATTGTGTACGAGATCAGGTCGACAGTACCACCGCCTGCGTCAACCACAACCATGGTGTCTCCGGGGTCAAGGGCGTCCAGATTCAAGTCATGAAGGGCATAAATGGCAGCTGCTTCGGGTTCGGATACCAGATGGACATGGTGCTCGGGCGCGGAAATCATAGCTTGTTCGCATGCCTTCTTAGTCTTTTCCTTCGCTAAGTCGCTCCAAATAGCTGGTACGGTGATGACAAATTGCAAAGGAGTGCTGTTGATAAGACCACTGCCGAGCTTCTCACGTAAGGTGTACATGAGATGCTCAACAAGCTGGGCAATGAAGTCGGTAACAAGTTCATCGGTATTTCGGCCGCTTCGTACACCCTCGGCACTTGTATTGTGGCCAACAGCTTGTGTGGAAGGGTCTAAGTTCCTTTGAAGGTATGAGCCATCCAGCTGCTTATTTTATGAATGTTTTGACACTTACAGCTTGAACCACTCAACAACTTCATGTTGAGGTGCATTCACAGGGACAGAAAACCCCCATTCGATATTGTCCTTGCTGTATCGCATTCTTGTGGGGACTTTATCGCTAGATTGTCCTTCCTTGTTGGCACTCGATACAGGCCATTGCGTAATGCAAGTTCGTCGTGATGGGTTGCGATTCTCAGCCCAAGCCACTCCAGAGTATGTGGTCCCAAAATCAATGCCGACGATAATCTTTCGATCGGCTGTTTTGGGCTGGTCCACTTCCATGGAAAAGGGTTTTGTGGTAATCGGGTATGAAACGAAAATGAATATGATATCAGTTTCACGGCTCGGGGTAACGATGCGCTAGCTGAGTTACAAGTGTGATATGAATACCTAGGTAGGGAAAAGAGGAGGAGGGTGGTCTTTGTGTAAGAAATACAAATGTGTGTGAATCTCTCCAGCGGAAGAGAGAGTATTTGATAAAGGTAGAGAGGAGCGCTGTTCCTTAAGATAGGTAGGCAGAAGGTGGTAATGACACTGAGGCAGGCATAGATGGACCTGCTGCGTAGTGTTACACAATTCCAATTCAGTAGGTCTTACCTACCTTACCTATGAGGAAGGTGATTTTGCTGTCTACTATGGTACCTCATAAAATGTATCCTTTCTTCTTGCCTGAACACGCACCCTCTCGGTACTCGCTCATCTACTACCTACATAAGTCTTGTTTGTTGCTGCTGGCTTTCGATTTCATATTTAGCAGTGTCTTTAAGGGTCTTACACTCCGGCATTTCAGTCATCACGACTTGAAGTTTAAATTGATTCCAATGGCAGGACGTTGGGTCACAGTGTTTGCCTTCTTTTCCAGAATACGGTACTCGGCTTGAGTAATGAGAAGCAGTTGTTCGCGTGTTAAGCGAGTGGGCTGTTAAATCTCGAGGTCTCTCTTGTTCCATCATGGTAATAAACGACTGGTCACAAATTCAGCTTCGGTACTCTAGCAGAAGTATACTATCCTTAAAAAGCTGGTAGTAGGTATGTTGACCTGAACGATGCTGGGCGGTCAGAGGCAGACGTGCATGGACGTTAACACAGAGCAGCCACTAAAGCATTAGTTCCATCAGATACAAATGCGGCTGAGCGTGTATCCGTTTGATGTGCCACACTCGGCAGGGGTGTAACAGGGGTTTCGCTGATCACTCTGTGGGGGTTGGTTTAAAGCTTTGTACTTCACTCCACTTCTAATATGTACGAGAGACTCAGACCATGCCCGTTTGGCGATACGATGCAGAGTTCCAAGCGACTTGAAAAAGCATTAGATTTATTTCATTAGTCTCACTACTCTCTATCATATCTAATATGACGGTTTAGCCGACTGACATCTGCCAGCGGCGAGCATCCTGCCCCGCTTTGGATCCATAAAGTGCTTGAAGATATCACCAAAGAGAGAATGTCGTTTTCATGAAACTCCTGGGAACTATATCAAGGTTTCTTATTTAGAAACAAGGGAGATCAAAACGTGCTGTGAAGCAATTGAGCAATCGACTAATACCAGTCAGATTAAATGCGAACATCCTGATCAATCGTAGCTGAACGAACGCTGTTTGTGGCCGCTAACGTCAGTTACAGATGTTTGGCTCCTGTTGTATCTACCTAGGTACTGGAGTCTGCAGGCACCCGAAAACTAAAGCGCCTCGCCTTCTCGCTCTTTCTTTTGTTTTTTCATCGCTACGCTGCCCTCGAGGAGCAAGAAATCATCGGCCTTGATAGAGATATCAGAATAAACTTGGCAAAAAGTATCCTGAACCTAGGCTAAAGTTGTATTAAGTTACCTAAATCTATTGTCATTTAGGACAAAGGTCCTGGGTTTTCTTTCCTCCCCTAAACTGCATTTCTGCACGTTTGCTTGCCGTAACTATGTAGTGCACTTCCAGCCGATGCCGCTCAATCAGGGGTTTTTCATGACTTTATTCTAGTTACTTCTTCATTTACGTACATCGTTGCATCCTTAGTATCTAACTGGACTTCTACAATTATTCTGATCAGAAACACAATTCAACACAGCATCTCACTTTTATCATTCTACTCAGGCCTGACTTTGCGCTTGACTCTCCCCCTTGGATGCTTACAAACGAATTCGTTAAAACGAGCAGGCTCAAAGCAATCGCCGAAGAAGGGAATGATTGCGTGCCTTAGGTCAACCCAGGCTCTGAATTTCCACTATGTAAAACCACAGCCAGAGGGAAGGGCACCGCATACTACTTTCATCAGAGAAGGAACTTCTAAACATGTCATCTGGAGTCATGCCCAGCAGCTGGGACGCTAGAAGCCTTAACACAACTAAGACTTATAAGCACTATGAGCGAGATATTGAAGTTCGAAATAGCCCGGCTCAACATACTCAAAAAGAATCCCATCACTCTAGAGAAATATTCAATATCCTTAGCAGTTCCGGCGAGGCTCAGCCGCAGTTGCTGCGAACAACTGAACCATGTCCCACGAATGAAAAAGTTGGCTCGCTTGGTCCACACTATGATTCGAAAAGATTCAGTGTCATTCATTACTCTAACACCGCTCTAGAGGAAAACCCC